GTGAGTGAGCACAGGTGAGTGCTCAAAAATATTTGCAAGCTTCACCTCCCTTTGAAGTCCTTCTGCCTGGTCCTCCCCTCTCCCTGAGGCCCCGGCTCCTGATTTATTGGGTTCCTGGAGCAGAGGCACCTCAATTAGCTCCAACTTCAAAGAGCCAAGAGAGGAGAAGGGCAATAGACAAATAGCCCCCCTGCTAATTGTGGCTATTGATCAAACACGAGCCGGGACGATCAGATAGGAAGGGATGGATCAAGGTGGGGGCACGTTCTCCCAGGGCTCTGCTTTTACACCAGTCACCCCAACAATTTGTCAGACCTGCTCCTGGGCCATTTTTCAACACGTTACCCCTCACACAGGAAGGCATTTAGCGACCGCTTGCTAATGAAACGATGGCTAAACACACGTGGCGGTGCCACGCTGCTCGGAGGACGGGGACCCGGCCCTCCCCATGGCCTCCGGACCTGCTGCACCTGGCAAGTCCTCTGTCCCACCAGCTTGGGGATGCAGGGAACAAGGAGCTGCTTTCAGCTTCTTCTTCCCCAGAGTAAGTGCCGGGCAGGCCCGGCAGCGCCAGCCCAGACAGCTCTTTCCTCCCCCCCAGGCTCCCCACTGCTGGGAAGGGACAGGAAGGCTCTGGAGGCAGGTAACACTTTAGCTCTTTTATCACCTGCCCCAATCCCCCCTGCCACATTCCTGCTTCCTTCTCCGCAGGGCAGAGGCGTGCCAAGCCCCACACATTCCTCCGCCCGCTCCCGGGGGCTGCTCCTGCCCAGGCACCCACCTACCTCCGTGCCCACAGATGCTCCCGGCTCCCCGGGGTGCAGCTGCGTGGAGCAGCCCTAAGGCACGATCTGAAAGGCAGCTCAACGCTCCAGCCCCGTACCCGGGGCAGGAGTCATTTTGTCTTCTCCTGCGCTCAGGTGCAAGACTCACTGCTCTCCTCAGCAACCTCATCACTCCGTGCCTCAGTTTCCCCTAGCTGGGAAATAACAGAAATGCTGCGGCACCACTGAGCGTGGGGGAGCAGAGCCCAAGCCCCATGCCAGGGTGGTGATGCCGCATGGGGCTCTGCCCCATGGCACCATATAAAACCCAGGGATGACCTGGCCCAGGCTGAGCCACCAGCCTGCCCAGCAGAGGAGAGGGCAGAGCAGCACAGGGAACTCCTGCAGCGACCAAACTCTTAGCAGAGACTAAAGCAACCGCTGCAATGAGTGCTTGGTAGAGGTCCTTCCCCCCCTCGGGGCCTCTGAGGACCCCATCGCAAGCTCTGGGCATCCCAACACCAGCACCCCACGCTCCTCCAGCTTGGCACCGTGCTCAGGAGCATCCCCGCGGGCAGAGGCCAGGCAGGGCTCACCCTCTGCCTCTCCGCAAGGCAAGCACACCTGCAGGCAGGTAAGGAGGGTCGAGAGGGAGCCACGTGACGAGCCCCGCCGTGGGGTTTTTAGAGGCGGCTGTGTGTCCCTGGAGGAGTGTCTTCCACACCTCGCAGGAGGCAGGACCACAGCAGCACCTCTCCCGCTCCCCCCTCACCGCGGCCATGTCCAGAGCGGCCATGGGGAAAGGCACGGCGCCAGAACCCGACAGCTCGGAAGAGGAGCTGGAAGCGGGGGCCGCACCCCAGGCATGCTACGGGCAAGATCTGTGGGTCCCCCAGGGAAGGGAAGGAGCCGCCTGCCTGGGGGACGCCGAAGGGATGAAGGTGAGGAAGAGGAGCAGGCCGGTGCGCTCTAAGGCCAGGAGAATGGCTGCCAACGTCAGAGAGCGCAAGAGGATCCTGGACTACAACCAAGCCTTCAACGCCCTGCGGCTGGCCCTCAAACATGACCTCGGAGGCAAAAGGCTTTCTAAAATCGCTACCCTCCGGCGAGCCATCAACAGGATCACGGCTCTGTCCCTGTCCCTGCACAGCACCGGGCGCTGCTGGCCCTGCGCCCACTCCGAGTGCCGCAGCCGAGCCGGGGTCCCTGCGCCGGAGCCGGGGGTGAAGGCCAGCCACCCCCAGTTCCCCTGGGATCCCAGTTCCGCAGGCGCCGCCGGCTCGCAGCGCTGCCCTCCGTCCCCTCTCTACGCCAGGTTTTCCCCCGAAAGGCAGCTCCATCGCTACGAGAGCCCGAAGGAGGATCGCTCCGTGCCCAACCATGCCTATTGCTCCAGCGGGATCTACCACCCCGGGCTCCGAGGCGCCTGCCAGCAGAGATACGCGGGCACCCTGCAAGACCCCCTGAGCGGGATGGTCCCCTGGCAGCTGGGCTATTGCCAGAGCTGGGGCCACCAGCAGTGCCTCCCCATCCACTGACCCGCAGGGCTGGGGTGGCGAGACAGCGCCGGGAAGGTAACGCATCCGTGGGACAAACGGGGTGGGTGGGGGGAGCGGGAAGGGACCGTTGCGGGCGAGAGAAGCGCCGCGGGATGCAGAGTTCAGCTGCGACGCCGGCGAGAGCCGTGAGCCCCCCGACACGTCGTATGGGACCCCAGCGCTGCCCGGCTGCGGGTCTCCGCTTTGCGGGAAAACTGGGGAAGGCGGAAAAGTCCTCTGGAAGTGCCAGCTCCGTGTTTCTCGTCGCGAGGTCTCACTGTTGCCGACTGTCACTGTTATTTATTCTCTCTTGCTTGCTCTGTGAGAAAACACGACTGACGAAGCCAACACCAGGGCACTGGCTGTTAATATGTGTGGGGTGGACAGATGGGCTGTGGGGATGACGCTAAAGCCCCTGGCTGGCTGGTCGCTCTGGCTCCCGCCGGTGAAGGAAGGGAGCAGAAGCAGGGAACGGTTAGTGCCCGGGGACTTTGGATGCTAAGCTCATTGGTGCAGACGTTTGTGCCCAGCAGATTTGCGAGGCCAGGCTGGGAGGGGAGACAGATGTCGGCTTTCATAAAACCCACTCGTCCGTTTGCAGTTTCCTCCTGATCGTGGCAAAGTGGCTCTGGTGGGACAGGCCGACAGCGCGTGCCTGGCCGGTCCCAGCGGCGGGGAGGAAAGGGGAAATTTTACTAAAAAGGCCCCTTTGGCCCCTTCCCTCTGGCTTAGAGAGCTCAGACCGGCTGGGAGGACTCCCTTCTGCCCGAGGCTCAGCAAACTGGAATTGCTGCAGGAATTAGGCAGGGTTTTACAGCCACGCACACACCACGACCGGCAGATTTTTGGATAGGGCAAATTCCCGCAGTGCTGAGCCCCCGCAGAGCTCCTCCAGCCCCAGTGCTCCCAGCCGAGCCCCAGCGCTGGCTGCCCACACACCAAGGGCAGTCCAAGCTCTTTCCCTGCCCGGGGTTTGGGGGGGCACATGCTGGAACAACCATCTCAACCCTCCGTTCTGGTGTGCCAGTCTCCCTCCCCAGGGTCTTCTCCTCCTCCCTTAATCCCCGGGTGGGACAAGGGAGCTGGGCAATGAGCAGAGGAAAGCTAGCAGCAGCCAGGAGAGAGAGCTCTTTGCTCAGCAAAGGAGCCTCTTTAAAGTGCTGACAGTGTGAGGCATCTCGGCTTTAATCTCCAACAGATGTTCCCCTTACCAGGAGAAGGCCTGCAGCGACGTCCACTGAAGGAATCCTGCTTCTCCCAAGAGCATCCCTGCTCTGGGGGGGCTTTACCTGCTCTGGCTCTCCCCGGAGCAGCGCATACCCCTGCTCTGCCCCGTCAGCATCCATCACACCAGGAGTGAGAACGCAGCAATACCAGCATTCGAAGAAGGTTTAAGTGAAACCCAGCCCTAAGCCAGACATGAACCAAATTTCAAATTTGCCCCCCACCCAAATTTGCATCTGCAGGTTTTACTCGCCCCATCTTTGGTGGTCAGGCAAAGTGAGACAGATGGAAGCAGATGGCCAGAGAAGCAGGAGGGGGGGCATAGCCCTGCGAGACCCCCCCAAAGGAGGGTCACTCCACTGCTCTCAGGTTCACATTTATGAAATGCGGGTCCTAATTCTGTCCGGAGGCTGCAGGACGGGATAAGTCCCCGGGTGGCGGGGGGGAAGCGTGGGGGGGCAGCAGCCTGGCAGGCTCTGGGCCGGGCTGGGCAGCAGGTCCCAGCTGGCAGCAGGGTCTTTGGGCACCTCTCGGAGAGGGAGAAGGGGCTGGGTGTGCCCCATAAATGGCACTCAGTGCCAGGGAAATCCTTGACAAATTTGGAACTGAAGCATAACACAGAAAGGGTGGAAAACTTCCATCTTATCCAGGCTCTGTGGGGTTTTTTTAGCCCTCCCTCCTGCCCCTCACAGCACCCCCCACTCCCAAGGGTGCTGTTATTTGCTTTACAGGACATAACCCACCCCTGCACCAGCACCCTTTCTCCTTTGCTGGTCCTACATGGGGCCACCATACCTGCCACTAATCCGGCGTCCCCGTCCCCAACTGCCATGTCTCCAGGGTCACCCACGCAGACCGAGAGCAGGGTGAGTCAGCCCAGCGTGCCCAGTGCCTCCTCTCACCCTGTTACTGGAGGCAGGATGCTTTCCCAGAGCGCCTGGAACCCGGGGTACCACCGAGCACCCCCCCACTGCCCAGACACCCTCACACCTTGGGGCAGCAGGCAGCCCCTGCACAGGGCAGCTCAACCACCTCCTCCCCGGAGCGATGAGGGGTTTGTGGGTCCGGTCTGTGTCGCATGTGTCCCCCCCACTGGGGAAAGGCTTTCAGCCAGGAGGGACCCAAGGGACAGCAGGACATGTGGGTACCGGTACCCAACACAAAGCTGCTCCCGGGACCGGAGGCGGCCACCGAGCGGAGCCCGTGGGAAGAACCGGGGGGGGGACACCGGAGGGGCGAGACAAAGCCTCGGGCTTGGGCGACGAGGGGGACACCCCGGTTTTCCCAACCTCTCCCACCCCATCAGCATCCCCCCGGTGGCGGGGGGGGGACACGACACGCACGACAGCGGTACCGCCTTGCGGCGGGTCGGGGGAGGGAGAAACGGGGGACACCCCGGGGGCGGTCCGAGGCCCCGATCCTACCCCGGGGAAGGGGAGGGGGGGGCCGAACCGGGCTGGCCCCTCCTCCGGTACGGCCTCCCGCGGGGCGGCGGGGCCCCGAGCTCAGAGCGGCGGCGGCGGGGCTCGTCGGGAGCCCGCTCCGCCGGGCCATGGCGAACAGCGGCTCCGCACCGGGGGGGTCGGGCTCGGCTTCGGCTTCGGGGTCGGGTACGGTGCTGCCCACCCGCTTCCAAGAGACCGAAAAGCTGCTGGCGGCCACCGAAGGCCGGGAGGAGAAGGGCCTCCGAGGCTCCAAATCCTTTACGGCCGCTTTAGCCGGCGAGGCGGAGCGCAACGGGCACGGGCTCGCCTACAAGTCGGTGTCGGTCGGGCACCTGGAAGCGGCCCCGCTCTCGCCGTCCCGGCTCAGCCTGGGGAGAGCCTCCTCCACCGCCACCAGCACGGCGGCACCGGAGCAGGGCCGCCCGCGGGACTACCTGGTGCTCGCCATCTTCTCCTGCTTCTGCCCCGTCTGGCCCATCAACGTCGTAGCCCTCGTCTTTTCCATCATGGTGAGTACGGGGACCCGCCGGGAGCCTGGAAT